TTACCATACAAAAATTTATAATTGGTGAGAAATACTTTTTGGTCAGTTTCAGAGTATGACTCAAATGCTTTTTAGAAATAAGAATTTAGTTTTAAGCCATTGTAAGTAAATTGGCATTTAGCAGTAAATTTTAGTAAATGTAGGTGATTTTTAAGTAGGTGAAAGTACTCTTAGCAGTTTTGTGTTCTTCAAATTTATTTTGGTAATCTTCTAGTGGTTTAAGCTTTCAACAGTTTAAAAATAATTAGGCATGGCTTAATTCTATTCCAGGGATCTTAAAAAAAATATTAGTAATCAAAGTGCACACCTTTTTTGCACAGTTCATTCATGTTTAATTTATGTATATGATGCAGGTGGAAGACTTTGATATTCCTATAATTTCATCTACAGGAAAAAAATATGTAGAGATTTTAACATTCCTTTTATGATTATATTAAATTGAATAGCAATGTATATGCTATTATACTGGGGTAGACAAAAGGATATACTTTTCTTGATCACCCTAATGCAGTTGCAACAAATCTTGTTTGTCTTGGTCTTGTGATAGGGACTTGTGTAAGGAGAGCAGGGTATTACACATGACAGAAGCCAGGTTATAGGGATTACTGGCATGTGTGTCCTTGATAAGGGTGAGACAAAGCTTAGGAGAGATACAGATGAGACTCCAAAGTAAAAGTGAGGAAAGCGAGCTTCAGTGTCAAGTCAACTGTTTTTGAGCCAAGTTTCTGGTGGATGCTTGTGTGCGTGATGTTGGTGATATTTATTTTGGATTTGCTCTGCTGAGCTGAACTTGTAGATGTGCTGTGGACATAGTAAAGTATTGAGGTTTGCAAGTTTTAGCTCTCTAATTATACACCAAGGTTTAGTATCAAATTTGACTTGACTTTTCTTTGAGGTGTCATTGTTTTTATAAATAAATCTTTTCCCCACTGTTGGGTCTTGACATTACTGACATGGAGAGTCTTAATGCTGGCATATTGTAGTACAGCAGTTCTTTTTAGATAGGCAAAAATTTTGTCCAAACTATTACCAGTTCTGTATGTACATTTTGTACTATAACCATCTTCCCCTCTGTCTTCTCAACTTAGACTTCCTGGGCAGCACCCCAGTGCCATGTGTTAGAAATGGTAGATGTTTTTTCTCAAACCCACATGCCTGGCCATCAATTAAGCACATATGCCTTGACATAAATGTATGCTAATGGCTGGGTCAGTGTAAGTTTGAAAAATAATTGTCACTATTATCACATCGGAACCTGAATGCATATGATATTGAGGTGCTGTGCCGAAAGCCTGATTTTAATCACTCAGTGAGGGATTATAGGGATAAATTTGGCCATATATTGACTATGGGTATATTCACATATAGATGAAATCTTTTTCAACTGAAATCTTTCCTGTATGTGTGGTCATTGATTGCATATTAATCTCTCTTATGGCCTGAGCATATATGGGTGGTTGGATGTACATGGGTTCAGAAAAAATTTCCACAGTTACTCATGTATTACCTGTAGAGTGTATATGATGCATTCAGGAAGTCTCTAATCCTCCAAGGTCCTTTAGAATATAATTTGAATGCATGTGGAGCTACTGTTGATCCACTGAATTCAGTAGAATTTTTTTCAGATTTTAGCTTTGGTACATAGGTAAATTGCCTTTGGTACATAGGTAAATTGTGTCCCATCTCCCAAACACTTTATAGGTCTTCAGTTCCTACATTATCCCTTATTACATTACTGAGTACAGTGGACCCCCGCATAATGATCACCTCTGAATGCGACCAATTATGTAAGTGTATTTATGTAAGTGCGTTTGTACGTGTATGTTTGGGGGTCTGAAATGGACTAATCTACTTCACAATATTCCTTATGGGAACAAATTCGGTCAGTACTGGCACCTGAACATACTTCTGGAGTGAAAAAATATCATTAACCGGGGGTCCACTGTATGTAGTTTTAGCCCATGTCCAATTATTTGTGTACATTACATTGCTGGGTATATAGTGCTAGCTCTTGTCCAGTCATCTGTATGACTGACCCTCATCAACAGATAGATAGGTCATAGCACTCAGTGGGCTAAATTAAAGAAAAAATTAAATTTGTGAATAAATTAAATTTTGAATTTTTGAAAAGTTCTGACTGCTTGTAGAACTTGTACATCACTGACTATCTTAAATATGCACTACTTCTAGTGTAGATCAGGTGAAAGGTGCAGAAGGCACCCATCAAAAAAAAAAAAAAACTAGAGGGCTATGTATTGTCCTGTTACCTGCCTGGCAAATATAAAGATGTACCAGTAATGATGGTACATCTACTTTTAGAGAACACTATATGTACTGTTTGTGAATTCATTGCACCGACTGAGTTCTTTTTTAAGGTAAAATATTTTATAATAAACAGATATTTCTACTGTTTCATTAATTTCATTAGCTGTAGGGAAGAAACTGGTTGGGGTATGGATTTTTGTAGTGAAAAAAAAAAAAAAGGTGAACTTTTAAATTACATTATACAGTATTAAAATTTGTGAGGCCAGAAGTTCTTTTGCTTCTGCTTGCATATGGAAAATAATGGAATGCAGATTTTTTTTTTTTTACGTGTAATTTGTGCAGCGCCAGTAATTGCATTCATTCTAAGAAATTTCCATTACTGTTCTGTACTGTATATAAAAACTAAATAAAAACAGGCTTTTGTTTGCATGTACTGTAAATCTGGTTTTGCTAATTACCATTTCCTGGTAAATTAATCTTGCCACTGCATTACTCTCAGTTATTGCATGGCACTGTACAGTAGAAGCTTGTTAATACAAATTTAATTCATGTTTTGAGCTTTTGCAGAAGGGAGACCTGCAGAAGATCTCTCAGATCATTGCAAGAGCCAGGGTCTCATTGTGCTCCAAGCAAAGACAGTGCCAGAATCAAAATACACTATTAATTTATAACATTTTTATATGCATCTTACTGTGATGTTAAAGCATGGGACACAGATAAAGCAGCATGCTAATTCTCACAATGTTTTTCATCCTCTCATTACCTTCCTCCTGCTGACTAGTGTCCTTGGTATAGTTTTTACTTAATTCTAACTTCAGCCAAATTGTTTTCCTCATCATATTTGCAGGTATAATTAATTTAGGAAAAGTAAACACAGTTTTAGTGTTAATAGATTTGTCAACTGTTGCTATTGGGCAGGCCTCTGGAAAGTATCCTTGTCATAAATAGTTTCTGCTGTGCTCATCAAATACCATACAAGAAAAGGAATCAGAATAATGCAAACCATTTGAATAAATTGAGGATTTTTACCACTGAAATTTTTTTTAGAATGTCTAAGGCTATTCTTGCTGCTGTGTGGTGTAGCATACCTGCCACAACCTTTGGAATGCCATCATAAATATGTACTTGTTTAGAATACATGTATTTTGTTTAAGCTTGTAGGAAACTAAAAATATGCTCAATTTTTTCTAGCTTAGACAATTTTTAGATAAATTTTATCACATGATTTGTTGGGACATTGTAAACTTTTATGGAATTACTTTTCTCTTTTCCTGATGGCATATCTAATGGTCATTAACAGGCTTCTCTTTCCAGCTTGTGTCCCTTGGTGTATGACTCCTAAATTGAAAAGTAATGATGGATAGGTTTTTGTTCAAAAAATGCCCAGTGGATTTCCCATGCCCAAATTTCTGTTCTGAATATTCTTTCTTATAAATGAGATACAAATGTACAAAAAAAAAATCATAACTGCTACTTTGCTTGCACTTCAGTATGTCAAATCCTGAAACCATTGCCTCCGGTCATTCAATAAAACATTTACATTTGCTTTATGGGTGCTCAGGCTCCCTACATTGAAAAACCTCATTTATAACATCTTTCCAACTCTTCCTGGGATGTCCCCCCTACACCATCATACATCCAAATATACCTTGGTAGGAATTAGTAGAGGTGCTAAAAAGTCTGATGAGAGTGCTAAAAAAATCAATATATAGCATCTTTGGTTATTAATATAGCACCGTAATCTTCTGGACCTCATATTTTCAACAAAAACTTATACGAAGTGCTATAACCAAGTTCCTGGACTTGAATTATCTCGTGCTTCATGGGTGAAATGTGGTTGCCTAGATCAGCTGCACGGTGCACTCCTTTGTAAAGTAACATGGTGAGTTTGTGTGGATAGTCATTCCATTGAGGTTAAACAGGCATTATTTGTGGTGTCGGTGCATTGTTGTGATTTTTTTTGTGCAACAGAAAGGAATAGGTTTGCGTGTGCTCACCTATTTGTACTCTCCTATTTGAAGTTGCAGGGGTCGAGATATAGCTCCTGGCCCTGCCTCTTCACTGATCACTACTAGGTCCTCTCTCTCCATGTGTGCATGCATGGGTGTGCATATGAGAGAGAGAGAGAGAGAGAGATTGTTTCAGGTTCGGTTTTGCGACTAGTAAAAACCCTAAGAATGTTTCGGCAAGCATTTGGCGATGAAGCAATATGTTGGATACACTGTTTTAAATTATTTTCTCAGTTCAAGGCAGGACAAACATCAGTTGAGGATGAACAATGCTTTAGTCATTCATTAATATCAAAAACAGGCATCAGCACTAAAAAAGTGAGAAAGATTGTTCATGAAGATCATTGTCAGAGTATTCAGGACATTGCAACTGCTGTGGAAATTTCTTATGGATCGTGTCAGCTTCACACTCACTGCCCATGGTTAATCTGATGCGTCTGTATGGTGTACAGTACATCAAAAAAACTCCTATGATAGCAAAATGATGATTTTTGTCTTCCTAAAAAAAGGGGGGGGGAGGGGAATAGATTTTACTGCTTGCTCTTCAAGTGAAGTTTTTGCCCCCCCCCCCCCCACCCAAAAAAAAATGATTTGTTAGTGTATAAAATAAAGATGGTAATTTGATTATTGGATCTATTTCGATTTTTGTTTTTTATTAGTAATGAAAGTATAGGTTGTGTTAATTACTGTTTATTCCTGACTAACTTGATTCTGTTCTTTACTTAGTGTCGAGGATGCGCGAATACAAGATCGTGGTGTTGGGGTCAGGAGGTGTCGGCAAGTCTGCTTTGACCGTCCAGTTTGTTCAAGGCATTTTCGTTGAGAAATACGATCCCACCATTGAAGATTCCTACCGCAAACAAGTGGAGGTGGATGGACAACAGTGCATGTTGGAAATCCTTGACACTGCAGGAACAGTAAGTAGCTCAAAAATTATGTACATTAGAGCCCTGCTTTATGGTGTTTCACTAATACAGACATTTCAAATTATGACAAAAACTCGTTATATGCTTCCCCCTCCCCCCCACCTGACTCTTTAATATGGTCACCGTACACCACCCAGTTTGTTTACATCCTCCGTGAGCTCCTTGTCTCTCCATTGTGTCTGGAAACTTTCTAAAATTTCAGGTATCTTAAAGTTATTGCATATTTTATATGTACAGTGGACCCCTGCAAATTTGCGGTTTCGAATTCGCATCTTCAATAATTTGCGGAGTTTTCCTTAGAACCTAGCTAATAAATATATAATCGTTAGCGGAAATCCCTGCAAATTCGCTTTTTTTTTTTTTCATGGCTGTAAATCCTCCACTTTGCTTTGCTGTGCTGTCATTATCTTCATGACCTTCATTGTACTGCACAGCTAATTCATCATCATCTTTAATCGGTATCATTCATTATTGGTGAGTACCCATACATTTAACTTTACTTTTACTAAAATTGTTACAGTATACAGCCTCTCTTCACTTAGCTAGGTACTCATTTACTGACGACTCGGACTTATCATGGGCTTGCTGACCAGTATTCATACCTAAATAATGTATATTAGAGCTGATTTTCTCTATTCTGTTTATTACAATATACAGTACACTACTGTATAAACATTTAAAAATCTGTCAGAATTGTTATAAATGGTGCAAAGGTGACATTAAAACAATATCAGAGATGGTTGACACAAACCCACTACCATTATAGCATGCTCCTCACTTAGGAACGGAACTCCGTCGTTAAGTGAGGAGGCTATACATATTTACTGTACATATGCCAAAGAAAACTGGGTTGCGTGAATTACAGTATACCAAATAAAACGGGCTTGCATGAATTACAGTACAGATGTGGAGTAACATTGGTATTTTACATTCTAGCACTGCGGGAGTCATAGCAGTACAGTACTGCATACGGGTTTATCTTTTCAATCCCGTCTGTTGGAATCATTGGACAAAATTGAAGAAGTTCTTAGATTCTGGTTGATGTCTGTAGTAATAGTGTCAGTGTATGATAATTTTTTGAATCAGTGGACAAAGTCTATTGATTCTGATGTGTTTCTAATGCAGGCCAGTGTGTCCTGATCCAGGACCTTGCTGTTTTCATTGTTTCCAGAGCTGTAGATTGCCCACATTGGCTTGTCTCGGCATCCTTATGAATACATTTGACATTTGGCAGTAACATACACCCCCTCCCCCTGTTAGTCTGTTAATTAGAGGCTCACTGTACTAGGCCCATGTAGACTGATACAGTATTCCATAAATTTATGGGAAAATTGTATTTTGATTAAATTTAGCAGGCAGTTTAGAGTTTAGCAATATTTATGTAAAGGCATAATTTTCCAACATTTTTATCCTGTATTTTGTTGTAAAAATATTTTAAAACATTTTTATTTTTCAGGAGCAATTTACTGCAATGCGTGATCTTTACATGAAGAATGGCCAGGGCTTTGTTTTGGTGTATAGTATCACTGCACAGAGCACCTTCAATGATCTACAAGACCTTCGTGAACAAATCCTTAGAGTGAAG